TGCTTCCTACGTACGGGCCCATGAAAGTTTTTGGTAGGTAAGTTGCTAACTCGGGAACCAGAAAAGCTAGAAAGTTGAAATTTTAAAGGGATATTGTGTGACAGTCTTGATGGCCAGTCTCAATTCTATTATCCGGAAACATCTGTCGAAAAAAAACAGTGCCATCAGCGACAAAAACTTGCGGGGAACTATGCAAAAAACTCATGCCCACACCGACAGTCGGTGCTCTAGCCAATTATTTTACTTCATATCACTATTGTAATAACAATGATCACCAGCCAGCGAATTTCCCAACAGGTCTGACCAATGCTGCATCATCTGGTGTTACGCCTACTGGTCATTCTGGTGCTTTTTTTCTGTTTCGTGCTCTTCGGGAAGGAATTTCTGCGCCTTTGACTCCTTCCACTGTTTTTTTTTCTCTCGTTTCACCCTGATAATCGGGACATGCGCTTCTCAAAGTTTAAAATTTCTAGCTCTCTGGCCGTAGTGTTGTCCAAGACCGTATTAGAAGACTATTAAATTGGTTTTTACGAAAAAAATGTCTTTTTGAAATATTCACCTTGTACAATAGTCACAGGAGATGCCGGAATAACTGGAATTTGAGGGCTTGAAATGCGAAACTGCGTTTGTGCAGAAGATGCACCTGAAATATAGAAAATGTAGGTAATCTTTCCTTCGCGTCCATTAAAAACGGGCAGCTATTAAAACTCGGCTCGACTGCTATTCTAGCTTCTTCGCTAACTCTATTTCGCAGTGGCACTCGCCAATTTCGCTTGTCACCTTGCCAGGAGTGCTGGGTAGCACTGCCCAGCGTGCTACGGTGGAAGAATTCACAAATAAAGAAAATAAAAGGTCATTTTCGATTTCATATTCTTTTCAAACTCGGTTCCATTCGCAACACGCTCGTACCCCTAAGTCTTCGTAAAATACTTCAAAGGAATCAACTGGCTGTGAATCCGAGCAACCTCGCAAAATGCTTTTTTATGGTTGCGAACTTACGTCGATCTGTACCGGCAGAGCCTATTACAGGCTGACGACTGTTTTGCTCGTGTTGTTGCTGCTGATTACGATGAATCTTTTGCGTGTTGTAGCTGCTGCTTCGGACACACTGCAGTATGGAAGCCTGAAGACGATTTTCAAATTCTTCCCGAGCACTACACAGGCAGGCTCGAAGTAGTGATCCGTCGCCCGGATGACATTGCGTTTGCAAGCGAGCACTGAAGAGAACGAAATTCAGCAGTAAAAAAGG